TATTTATTTTTAAATCTGGAGCCTTTTAGATGAAGCCTCAGGAAACTCACTTCATGTGACTCACTTCACGTGTCTGTATTGCTGATGTTATTTTTAACCTTTCTTTATATAACTTTCTATACAGTTGGGTGTAGTTATGTAGCAAGAAAACATCCTTGTGTCATGAGGGACTTCACCCTAGGGCAGCCAAGATCTCCCAGGCCCTCCCCTGGGTGTGTAAGCTCACAGCTGTCAGCAATCCAACAGGACTTTTCTGACTGCAGTCGCCTCAGTGTTAGTGGTGTTCTTTAAAGAATAAAATAACATAACTCAGTTTATGTCATTATGTTTTCATATCTCATATTTTAGTCCCTTTTCTATCCCAGCCCATGTCCTTCTCAGTCTAGACTTTCATCATCAGCCTTTTCTGTGGATTCTAGCTCTTCTCCTTTTTCATCAATTTTCATTTTACTTATTCATATTTTGAATATGAATGGGTCAACATCACTGTATTCTCACAGAAATTTTTCTTCTCTTTTTGTGTATATGCATGTGTTGTAGATTCCCATAGGTATAGGGGCTCACATCAATAAAATAACTCAGTTAACATCCTCTGTGATCCAGGTTCTGCAAGGATTTATGCTAAGTGGAACTGTGTGTGTGCAAAATGCTAAGCCTTTAACTAAGCCTTGTAGGATTTTGCTTCGGATCTGGTTCTAAATATTTGCAGAACTGACTCTTGAATTTGCCAGATACTACCTTTGAAGAAAAAATTGTAATATGATTACTTCTCAAACACCTAAACATAAGTGCTGTTACAAATTTATGAAAACACATTGCTAAAAAATCTGGGGTCACCAAAAGTTTACACATTTACTGTCCTATGAAGTGTTCTGGGGAAAAAAAAAAAAAAGGTGGTGGGATTTTTCCAGTATTTAAAGTGTAGTTTGTGCTTTACTTTATTACCCCCCAATAATGAAATCAGCTTTGCAGTCCTTCTTTGCAGTCCTTCCTGTAGTTTCTTCTAGAACAAAAGTGGTGCCGTGTTGATACCAGTAAAATGTAATATAATGGAATGTAAAGTATTTATTTGAAAAACTGTAAGGTAACCATTGACAGAGGAGCAAATTAGTTTTTAACATGCAGTGTAGAAGGTTTTTTTATCCTGTTCTGCTTGAAAATGCCTATGATTATCTCCTTTGAGAGTACTTAAAAGCTATGTGAAATTTCCAGTCTTCTAGATAGGCACTGTAGATGTCACACTGTTGATGCAATTGTAAATGCAAATTTAATAGGAATATTAACTTTTAATTTCATGCCAACATATCCATAATATGGGTACTGTATTGTCTAAGATGTTTCATGGTGTTTTGGAATTTAACTAACAGTGTTTGGTTTTACTTTTAAACATCTTCAGGAAAGGTTTTGTGCACTTTTTTAATACTGTCAGCATAGAGCTAAGCAGAAAAAATTGTTCAAGGAGTTAATTCTCATTAAACCTTTCAGCCACCAGATGTGTTTCTACCATATGTTGTATTTGATGTTTGTGTGCCATGGTGACTTAACAGAAATGCATTAAGTGTGGTATGAAAGTCCAGGTTGCATCACTTTCCTTGTGTGTATATACTAATGTATAAGATATTAAAATTATCTAAATATGTTAGCAACTTACTGTAATCATAATTTACAGCTTGTTGTTGCAACTGTTATGATTTTATTGGTAATCTTAATTTTGCAGTTTAAATAGGCACTTGAAATAGTTTAAAATTGCGGGGAAAATATCATTCTAATGACCTGGTTTATTAAACATATAATACATTTTTTATTCCATGCACCAATCCTCAAATCTTTGGAAGAGACTGTTTTCAAATGTTGTGAGAAGACTTATTTTCTTACTTAGAAAAAAATCCTGTTCTTATTGCAGCTGGTTTTAGAAGAAGCTTCCGTCTTAGCAGAAAAGATAAAAAAACAAACAAATCTATGTATGAGTGCAAGAAGAGTGATCAGTATGATACGGCAGATATCCCAACATATGAAGAAGTTGCAAAATATAGACGACAACCTAATGACAAATACAGGCTTGTAGTTTTGGTTGGTAAGTTGTTTTCTTTATTTTTGACCTGTTAAAACAGAGGACTGCTGATTAGCACAATGCTTAGCACAAAAACATTTAGATTGGAAGGGATCTCAGGAGATCGCCTGGTGCAGCCTCCCACTTAGCAGGATTAACTCTGAATTCAGAGCAGGTTGCTGATGGCAACAACTTTGGGAACCTGTCTTCCCACCTCACACCTCAGTAAAGAGGTGGCCTTTGTCTTCTCAAAGTGTATCGGAAGGGTGCTGGTGGGACCCCTGAAGACCTCTCTTCTCCAAGCTAGACAAGCCCAATTCCCTCAGCCTCTCCTCACAGGTCATGTGCTTCAGCTCCCGACCATCTTCAAGGTCCTGCGCTGGCTTTACCCCAGTTTATCAATAGGTTTGTTGTAGTGCAGGGCCCATCGTGGACAGAGCATTCCTCACAGGGTCTAACGAGTGCTGAGTAAAGGGGAAGAATAATTTCCCTCTATCTACGGGCTAGGGTCTGGCTGATACAGCAGAGTCTTCTGCTAGCCTTCATTGCTGCCAGCGTGCGCTGTGGACTCGTGCTTAGCTCACTGCCCACCCAGACCCCCAGCTCCTTTTCATCCAGGCTGCTCCCCAGCCAGTCAGTCCCCAACCTGTACTGCTCTGAGGCTTAGTCTATCCCAGATGCAGGACTTCGTATTTGTCCTCAGCAAGTTTCACAAAGTTCTGCCAGCCCATGCCTGGAGGATATCAAGGTCCCTCTGAATGGAAGTCCTGCCCGTGAGCAAGTCACTTGCATCACCCATTTTGGCATCTACAGACTTGATAAGGGCCCATTCTGTGTCCTCCTCTGGGTTATTGATACAGATTTGAAACAGTATGTCCCAGGTAGACACCTGACGAACTCCACTTGTAAGGAGTCACCCAGTGGAGTACAGACCAATAACCCTTTCCCTTTGAACAGGATCATCTGTCCGGTTTTTCACCTATCTAGTAGTTCACCTATCTAGACAGGATGTCCCAGCTTGCGTATAAGGATGCTTTAGGAGATCATGTTTAAAGCCTTGCTAAAGCAAAGGGAGATGACATTAAAATATAGCTACCATGGTTACTAGTCTGAACCTGGCAGTCAAGCTGTACTAGAACTCAAAAGAATTAGGTCAGTGTTGTGCTCTTAGAGATCAATTAATATATCTATGTGGAACAAAAGAGGAAAAAACAAACAGAATCAATACCCGTGGTCAGAGAAGAGAGAATATATAAATGGAATGAAACAAAACCATCTACTGTGTTAGAATAAGTAAATAGACAAGTAGAGAGAAAGGTGTATGAGAGGGGGACTTCTGTAGGCCAAGAACGGATGTAAGCATAGCTGCAGAACACTCAAGATGTCATCCTTAGTCAGCTTTCCGTTCTTCTGTAGTCTGCCACTGCCATGGCTTCCCCACAGCATTTAGTATCTAATCAAAAGATTGCTTCAGTCTGCTAAAAAAAAGAGAAAGTACATTATCTGAAATTTTTCAAAGGTAACCATTGGAGTAGCAACGAGTAACGTCTCATTGCTTGTTGTTTCTTTTGCAGTAGCGTGTAGGCTAATGCTTCATTAGTAAAGTTTCCTCCATTCTGAAAGCAGCAGAGCAGAGAAATATGACCCTCTATCAGGGACTGTTATAAACTGTTGAGTAGCTGTGTTTTTATATCGCTCATATCCAAGGGAACATTAAATTTAGTTTTTAATAAACAGTTTTGTCACTCTCCAGCACTAAAATTCAGCCACCTACTAGTGTGATCACTGTGAGATTGTGGGCTATATACAACAAGTAATAACATGGTTGAGTTGATTTTACAGTTACATCAACAGAGTGCAATGTGAAGGTGTGATAAGTAGACTTTTTATAACAAATTGCATATGTCTGATCTAAGGAATACCTAGAGATTTCATGTGATTTTTGTTTTAATAAATCAAATGAAGAAAGTGTGCTTTTTCAGTAACAAAAGCAGTTCAGAAATTTATTGCAGACTTCAGTAATTCTAATGTTTTTCTCTGGATATTAAGAGCAGCTTAAGTCTGGCCAATACCATAAAAATGTCTTGGGCAAAATGTGGAAAAACTAGCAGAGCTAGGCAATGCAGGTATAGTAGAAGCGAACACGTTTAAAAAGCTTTTTGTGTGCCAGTAGCAGTATTCAATATAATGTGTCAAATATAATTTGGATATTAGTACCAGGAAACAAAGGGACAGATAATTAATCTATAGCTGTAATTGGTGGGGCTACTAAATGTCTGTTGTGTTATGCTAGGCCTAAATGTATAATTTACCATTGGAAGGTTTTTTTTAGGTTTTGTCTTGCCCTTTTTTAAGGGGAGTTTGACAACTTTGAAATGGAAATTTCTTTTGATTTCATTTTAAATTGGTCTAGTCTAATATACAGAATGTAAATTGCACACACAGTAATTTGTAGCATCCTGTAGTGTGGTATATACTAGTCTCAGTTTCAGCTAGTTGTATTAGTTTATTGGGATTTTACCTTTGCTGCAAATGTAGGTTCATGAATAAAGTCCTGCATATCCCTGTGGCTAAAATAACAGATCATCTGAAGCACTAATGATACAGATGCTTCTGCTGTGCTTTTAGTTGTGATGGATGTGATGAGTCTGCTAAAACCAAAATGATCTAGTATCATGTCACCAGTCATATTCTGGTAACTTACTGTTCCCAGTCAACCAACAAATCCTTGAAGTCTTCCTTCACAAATGTTGCCTGCATCCTAAGCATGATACCTTGCAGCCCTATCAGGCAAAGGCAGAATATTTAATATGAAACGTATTATTTAAACACTAGAATTTTCATTTACTTTAATGAGGGAAAAGTCCTGCTCACAAAGGCTTCTGCTTCAGTAATTGTGAGGGCCAGACTAGTACAAATTTTCTTTCTTAAGAGTCAGAATGGATGTGCCGCAAACTGTAACTTTACACGGCATAGTTTCAGCTAAGTCAGAGCTTTCTGAAGGGGCAGTGCTAGGATAAAGCGAGGTCAGCAGTAACAAACCATGGGCACATGTCCCCCAGAATGCAGGCAGTTAGGTGCATGTGGTGTTATCACCAGAGGCATGCAAAGCCTTTCAGGTGCTGTGGTCACCCATGGTGATGCATCTGTCCTAAGTGGGCAGTGGTGGAAGCAAGGAGCAGAGGTGTGTAACCACGAAGGAGCAGTTATTATTGGTTTGTGACACAATGAGAAAAGTCTCTCTGTCTCTGAATTAGGCTGTCTGTATTCCCCACAAAGGTGTCCTTCTGGCCACCGCTGTGAAGAAAAGCAATCTGGGACTGGAAAAGTTCTCTATTGTTATATTGCTTACATTTTAAAAAAAATCCATCACCTCTGGTTTTATCATGAAGGAGCTATGTGGAGGCCAGGTCTGTCTCAGAGCAGGGCAGGATGAAATGGAAATGACTCCTAGCTCTCCACATCTCCTGACTTACCTTTAACGTGTTCAGTGGTGTCTTGCAGAGACTTAATAGATCTACAACAGTAGTGCAGGAAGATGGACTACCGTGGCCATACTTCTTCAAGTAAACTATCAGGACAATGAAGAAAGAGACCCAGAATTGTTGTCTTCATTAAACCTTCCTGGTTGAAGGAATGGGTAGATCAGCATGGCTCAGGAATGAATACATAGGATGTAAAATACTGCCTAGCGTTGCCCATGAGAACACCAGTATAAACTCACTGATCCTCCTTCAGTGAACAGCAAATCTTGAAGTACACTCCAACCGCTAGTTACAATTTACTGTAACACAAAAACAATAAGGTTCTACTTTCCTACCGCACATCTCATTGAGCTACAGTTAGACATGCATGTGCAGTCATTGCATTATAGTGATCAACTGTACTAGTAATTGAGCTACAGAACCTCTCTCAAGGCATGTTTTCTACAGGGTCTTTATGATCCCAACAGGGATGTTGTTACTTATATCCCAAAATATTTTCTGAAAGACCTTTTTTTTTCCTTTTTTTTTTCCCCCCCCTTTCAAATAGACTTCTAGGAGCTCAGTATGTATCTATGGGTGAAGAATGGCCAGTTGAGTTAACCCTCCTGAGACCTGAACTTACATCAAACAATTTTTTCAGTTTCTTTCAGACATGTCTGAATGGTACAAAATTTAATGCAAGTTTTAATGATTGGTGGTTTAATTCTGCAAGTGTCCCTCAATAAAGTCAGGTAGGCACTACACTCCAGTTGTACAGGATTAAACCATTACTTAGCTTCCATGACTCAACATACAACAGCAAGCAACATAAATGTTCCTTTAAAAAAAAAATAAAATATCTCTAAATCTGTGACCATAACTCTAGATATTGCTGCCTGGGGTGATTTATAGTAAACCAAAACTATGCTACAGTCATGGATCCCACATGCCTGGCATTTTACTATAAGAATCTGGATTGTCCTTTTCAGTCCTGATGCTTTATTCTCTTCTTGAGTTCAAATTGTGTAATTATTAGAAACTGGCATCTTTCTCTGCTGCATCAGAATGAAAAGAATATTCAGAATAGAAGTGTACATTACACTTGGGAGACATAGTGTAAAAATCAGCATCGTGGATGACATTGCTAATCAGGAATCAGCCTTCAGCGTCCGTATGTTACAGTTATGAGAACTCTGTGAAGACAGCACTGAAAAAGAAGAATCTACACCTTTCAGTAGTTAAATTTAAAGATTATTTTAAAATGGTAATCTGGAAGGGAAGACAGAGTAGTAGTGAAGTTGTGGTCTGGAAACAGATTTGGTCTAAGTTTCCAAAGCATCTGTCACAGGAAGTGAAGCCTGGATTCTTTATAAATAGAGCTAAAAGCATATTGTTGATTGGACAGCACGTAGACTGAGGAAATAATATTTGTGTAGATTTGATGGGAAAGATTTTTTTGCTTGAAAGGTATAGAATGATTTTTTTTTTAATGTGAATTCCACTTGTTTCATTCTACTTTGCTAGGATGTATTGAGAATTTTAATTACTTTTCCTATAAAAATCCATATTTGCCTTAAATAGCTGAACTATTAAAAAAGGAAAAATGTTTGTTTGTTTGTCTTAAATAAGAACAAAAGTAATGCCATTATTCACACAACACATTGCTTTCCTCTGCAGACATGCACCAGTAGAGGCTGCTGTACACCATATTAAGTAAACATTTATACATACTGATAGATTAATTTACAGGCAGGTCAGAGATGGAACTTGAAATATAGTTGTGTGTTTAACTTATGTAAACATATAAAAATTATAAATGCAGAAACTCTTAAGATTTTACAGAGAGACCATAGTCTGGGCGTAGCAGCAAAGTAGCAAGCATTTGCTTCTCATCATTACATGTTTCTAACTTCAGACAGGGTGGATAGCCATTTTTGCAAATAGGCACCTGAAGGTGCTGAAATATCAATCTTTGCTTTTTGACTCTCACTAGTAATTAACTACTATATCACTACTTCATTAAAATGTTTATTAGGTTTTGTATTTCTGATGTCTAAAATGTCTCTGTTAAGAAGCACTCCATGCATAAATGTGTCACTTACTAGACAAGCAAGAATCTTCCTTAAAACCACATGTATTATCCTTGTATTATTTGGGATATGGTTCCAATGACACACTCTCCTCTGTGTTCTGCTGTTGACCTGGCTTTGCAGAAATGAAGCCACTGCACTGTCAGAAACACATGAGCATGCAGAGCTGAGCTCCCTTCACACACACAACACCATGGCCCCACCACGAAAGAGGCCAGGCAGGCTGGAGCCCTGCATGAAGGGCTCCCGGGGACATGCAGCGATTGTCCATGGAGCCTTTGAGACCTCACAGGACAGAGTGCCCTCGCTGAGACCTAAAGCACCACTGGCAAATGGCTAAGAGTTAGGGACAACGCGAAAGCCAAGAGCAACGCCTGCTCAGTAGCTATTAGGACAGCAGTACTTGAGTGGAGGTGGAGGAGACACGTCAAAAAAATTCCATGCAGTCTTTGTTTCTTCCTGCCATCCTCTTTCCAAGAGTGGTCTCTCTTTGGCAGCCGCATGAAGAAGGAAACATTTGCTTTGGACCAGTTCAGACAGCAGGCAGGAGACGAGCATAGTTTAAAAGAAAATCAACAAGAAAGAAAAACCCAAACATCCCAAATGGGTTGTGACCTGCAGAATGCTGCCCTTCCTCCCTCTCCCTGTGCGATGCCGTGCTCACACAGTCAAAAGGAGGACAGTGACAGCCATGGCCAGCCAGCAGCCGGGCCGTATTCCTGCCAGCAGCCAGGGCTGGAAGGAGCAGTGCTCCCAGGACAGCCTGGTGCAGACAAGGGATGCAGCAGCTGGAGGGAGTGAGGAAAAGGCCATGCCACAGAGGGCAGAGGCTTTGGGGGGACTTCCTGCATGCCAGCTGGGGTCCTCTGGTCTGTGAGTTGGGCATGTTCTGGCAAAGTTAATAGCCAAACCAGGTTTTGTGCTGGAAAGCTGCAGGTTAGGGTGCAGGGGTCTGTAGTAGGGCTGAGGATGGAGATAGGTGCATGCTAAGGGTGGTTGCTGTAGAAAAGAAAGTTAGCTTTACTGTCAACTTTTGCACTGATTTTTCCTCAGTAATAAAGTCAGAGCAGAGTAACTGCCAACTACATCCCCTGAAATTTGTCAGTGCTGTATATTCTAGGAGAGGCTAGAACCATGGGCATTTCCAAATTACTCTGATTAAAAGCCAGTATATATTATAGATATAGGTTACATAGTCTTATCTCGGAGGGTACTTATAGCTGAAGATGAGAGAGAACTGGCTGCTGGGAAACAGCATGATTTTTTTTCTTTCAGGTCCTGTAGGGGTTGGACTGAATGAACTTAAACGGAAATTGCTGATCAGTGACACCCAGCATTACGGGGTAACAGTGCCACGTAAGTAAAAATACACTTCTATTCTAATGCTATACTTGCATTATTATCCTTTGTTATTGCGTTACCTTAAGACACTTTCAAATTTGGGTCTCTAAATGCATGCTTGGCATCCAAATTACTTTTCTAATTTTTAAAAGTGCTGCTGCAGTTGTATTTTAAATAGCACTGATTAAACTGATAGGATGTTTTGGCTCAGAGGCATTGCAGTAGACTTTTAGTACAAATTTAACATGATTGATGTCAGCAAGGTTTAGTAAATGAAACTCAGCTGAAGAACACCCTGGATTTGGCTGTAAAGCAGTGAAACATACTCTGTTACCAATGCTTGCTTTCAGCAAAATGGCTTTTATGTATTAGACGGGCTGGAAAATGAAGACTGATGATAAACGCTTTAATCCTGTAAATAAATGATTTAAATCTCTGATTAGCTTTAGAAAAGTTGATTTAGGGATTTTTTTCCTCCTTCCACCTATCTGACGAAGTAGTGTGATTTTTATAACATTGGATAACATTGTTCTACATTAACTTCTACAATATTTTATTGGGTTTTCTTTAATGTGGAGGACTTGAGAGTTTCAGACTTCCATTCCTTGGTTTGCTTTCTACTTGCACTTGTGCCTGCTATAGGGATCCTTCAAAAATATGGCTCCAACATTCTGCATTTGGGAGATACTGTCAGAGATTTTTTGCAAGTACAGGTATTCTATAAAGTATATATATGAATGAATTTGCTAGGTAGAAAAATGAATACACTTGGTTTTGGCAAGTCATTTCATTTGCACATACTTGCTTCAGCTGGGTATTGAAAACAACCACCAAAAAAGCCAGATGTTCCCAAATACTTAACACATTGAAGCATATGCAATCATTTGCCCAAAAATATTTCTCTAAAAATTGACAGTATTCATCAAGCTGCCTTCTCTCTTTTCTTTTCCAAATTTGTGGTTATAATTTAAAACAAACACATAAAGAAATCCTTCTCACTGAAATTCAGTAAGTCAAGACTTAGAGGGAGAACTGGGGTTCTTGTCTTCGAAATGCTCCTCTTCCTGTCAACCTAAGAAGAGTGTGAGATCAAATGGCATTTAAGACTCTATTGCTGCAAGCAGGTTGTGTATGTTCATATGCGATGGGGGATACAGGATGCCATAACATATGACTTGTATTAAATGGGACTTTGAATGGATTCATTAACCTTAAGTGGCAACCCTACAAATAAGTTTCATTTGTAAGCAAAATCTTTATACCTGGTACTTGAGGGAAAGTAAGAAGTGCAAATACAAGGCTACTGAAAGAAAGAGGAGTTCAGTTTTGATCACCAGAAAAAGAAAAGCACTAAAACATAAAATTCACACCCCATTTTTTTATTGTCATGCTTCACATACCATAGCTACAAGTGTTGTTAATGAATGTAACATTTTATAAATCAGGTTGGTGAGCTTTGTTTCCCTTTATGGTCTCATATGCTAATAAGTTTAACAAGTGGCAAGGCTGGGGTAATTGTTATGGACTGCTGCTCCTTTTATTATTCAGCTGTCCTCATTTTATTGCATTTTTCCCCTAGTTAATAAAAATGATAATCTGATACTTGTCCAGTAGGGGTTTTTTCCTGCTTTTCCTGCATGCTTTTAAAACTCAATTCTGTCATGTGCTTGTGTGCCACCTACCAGATCTAGAGCAGCCTTATGTCCATCAGAAGTGAGGGAACCGCTATGCTTAGTATTGCACAAGGGTCGTGTGCTTTTCAGTGTTTTCTGAACTGGTTTGCATTACATTGTTTTGTGCATCTTTCCTTTTTTTTTTTCTTTTTTCATTTAATGAAACTACAGACACTACCCGTCCAAGGAGAAGCCAAGAAAGTGATGGTGTCGAGTACATTTTCATTTCCAAGCACTTGTTTGAGACAGACGTACAGAATAACAAGTATGTCGAAGAGATTTTAACTAGAACTGCAGTTAAAACAATGGCTTTATTATAAAATGGTGCTGGTTGTAATTGTAGATAATAAGTCAAAGTGGATATAAGTTGCAGTGATTTGAAGATGTGTTAAAATTACATTTTGATATATAAACAACTGGCAAAAACAGAGCAAAAAAGCAGTATGTGCCAACACAACGGTTTTGAAGCTTCCAAGTAGTTTCAGTACTTTGGCTCCTCAAGAAGACACTGAAATTGTAGGTGTTCAGGATAGAGGAGCACTCTTTCAATAGAGCATTGTCTGTCATAGCAATAAAGCATTGCCACTCTAGGAGGGGGGGCCCTGGAAGTGCTGCAAATGTGCCTGAGTCAATGTTTGCGTAGTTCTGCTCTCTTTCAGGCCAGATACTTCCTCTGCTTTTGAATTTAGAGATCTACAGTGAAGCCCGTGCTGTAAACCTTCCAGAAATTAAACTAAAATGAAGACAATGGTAGCATCGTGCTCTCTAGCAGCCTGTAAAGTACTGTAGCTTGAAATTCTGCCCCAGTGTTTCAGAGGGCAAAAGTGTATTAGACACAAAGCTGTGGGTTTTATTGAAACTTCAAACTGTGCTTTGCTTTTTTGGCAAATAGCGCTTGCGCTTTTATAGCACATAACCAGCCGCCTTGGTTCCATTAGCACCATTGTTGCTCCTCCTCTTCTGAGACACAGAATTTGGATACTCTGTAGTGTGCAATGAAATTTCAGTAGTTTCTATTGTTTAGCTTATCCACTGTTTTATTGCATTGCATTAGTTCAGAAAAAGAGGTGATGGAAAACATTAGTGGGCTGTTGGACTACAGTACTTTTTTCTCTTTAACTGTAATACAAGCAGGTGTTACTGATTTGAAAGTGGTAAAGTAGAAGATTTCTTAAAATTGACATGCTGAAGTACTTGACAGCATTTCCTTTATAAAACATGGTAAAACTCTCATGTAAAGTAAAATATTTTTGCTCCTGAATTAGATCTTATAAACCAAACTGATAAGTTTTTTTTCTGGATAAAATGGAAATGATTCCAGTTGTTTTCACCTTCTGCCACAGGTTTATCGAGTATGGCGAGTATAAAAACAACTACTATGGTACAAGTTTAGACTCTGTTCGATCAGTTCTAGCTAAAAACAAAGTTTGTTTGTTGGATTTGCAGCCTCATGTAAGTAAGCATGTCTTTTGGACTCTTGTAGTTCCCCATATTGCATATTGGGATTCCAGGGAAAAAAATGTTTCTGAAATGGTATAATTTATTTCACGCTGAATAACTGTTGAGTGGGCTTGCTGGGTATCTTTATCACAGCAAGGCTGTCTGAAAGGAGAGGAAGGAAACTTCAATACATATTGGCAAGTATTCAGCTCAGTAATTAAGTGAATTGAAAGCCTGCAGCATAATGCCAAAGATATAATTACAAAATGGTCCTATATTTCCATTCATCTTTCTGTTGGTTTGGGTTTAGAGGTTCTCTCTCAAACTTTGATTTCAGAATGGCTTTGAGCTACCACCCAATCCAGCAACTCTCACGTGTTTAATAAGACTGTTCATGCCAAGGGTTTCCATGCAGGGTGGACATGAGTCAAGGAACACACTAGATGTGATGTTGGCTGGATAATTGTTAAGAACATTCCTCTCTAAAGCATTTGTTGTTGCATTGACCTTGTCTTTCAACCCCGCTGAACAGCTCCACTGGGAATTGTTGTGTTACTAATAACCACAGTGCTTCCAGGAGCTGGACTAGTTTATTTAAACCCAGCCAAAGTATTTCTTCTCCAAGGGTGGCCAGCCTATGACTTCTGAACCCCAGCAGCTTGTGAACAGTTCCTGGGGCAGTTTCAGATATGGGACTGTGCCCTAGGAGCAGGGCAGGGGGGCTGCGCTGGCAGAGGAGCGGCCAGGGAAGCCAGACCCCGTGCTGGGGAGGAGGGGAGCAGGGCAGGGTCTCCTGCGCTGCAAGGCTGTTGCCTGTCCAGCACGGCCCTGTTTTCCAGCGAAGCACTAAATTCTCTCGGGGACCCAGGCTTGTGAACCATTCTGGGAGCCCACTCTCCCCAACACAGCATTTTCTGGTGGGCCCTGGCAGTGTGAAGAGGACAGAAAGCTTCTGGCCATCCCTACTTCACCCTAAGCTGCTGGCCATCCCTGCTTCACCCTGTGCTGCAATCTGAATCATAGACCTCCCTCTAACTCCATACGTAGCATCACTTGACTCGCTCAGGAAGGGTAAACAGCAGGGGGTTGTGTGGTGGACACACAATATTGAAGAGAAAAATCATTGACCTGTTGTGACCGAGTGTCGCAGACACCTTTTGCCACTGCTTTTCATGGAGACAGAAAGTGTTGTTTCTGCTAAAATGCATTGAACTTTTCCTCCTCCCCTGAACGCCCTGCTGCTCCCCTCCCTCCCTCCTCCTACTCCCAGAGGCAGTGGTGTGCACAGCCCAGCCTTTGCCGGACTGATGGGGTTTACCAGCAGCCTGTGTGGAAATTAAGAGAAATGGTCACCCTTGGAGAAATGGTTTTCTTACCATTCACATGAAAATTCTCCTTGGGTGAATCAATGCCTATCTGCAGAGGGATGGCAGTAAATGAAATAAACTTCATGGGTTTATTTTGGTTACTGGGGAGTTTCTTTTATTACGATAAATTCCATTGTGTGAAATAAACTGATTAATTAAAATCTTTCCTCTTCCCAGACAGTGAAACACTTACGGACATACGAATTTAAACCATTTGTTATATTTATAAAACCTCCATCACTTGACCGTTTGAGAGAGACCAGAAAAAATGCCAAGATTATTTCAAGTAAAGATGATAAGGGAACTGCAAAACCCTTTACAGTAAGTATATTTAGACATGCTAAAATATGAGAACTTGTTAAGGGTTTTGTAGATTTTTCAAGGTTTACCTTGAAAATAAAGGTGATCACTGGATCTCATCGACAGTACTTGTCAGGACTTACACATACTATCTTGTTGTTTCCCAGCCTCTCTCATATTGCAAATTTACTGTTTTCATTGTTTGATAATCTCATGGGTGTTTACATTTCCATGGTCCTCTGATTTTATGTCAGTGAAGAACCCCCACAATGCAAGTATATTTTTATGTGACATAATGCTGTGGATTTCCTTTAAAAATTTGCATCTGGGCTTAGATGTTTCTGTTCAAGTATAAGAATTTCCATGTTTTATCAAGTGTGTTATTGAGTCTAAATTTAGAGGAAAGGTCAAATATAAAGCATCAATTAAAAAAGTAAATGCTACTTTAATAAAAAGTCCATATTTGTGGATAAGAGAAACAGGTTTTTAAAATGTTATAGGGAAATGAACACTGTAAGAAAGGAGAAAAATCTAAGCAAGTAACAAATGCTATTTTGTGTCAATAATCAGAAAAAAATATTAGTCATGTTACCCAACAGTAACTTACTTACTTCCTTGAAATATAATGAAATATTTTAATTTAAGCTAAAGCAAGGCTGATCTTTGTTAGACTTTGTTTTATCTACATTTACGGTGTGTATAATTTTCCCTCATTCAGATGTTATTTAGGATTTTTTAGATTTTCTTTCAAACTGAGTCACAGATATACTCACAGACTTTATCTGTGTAGAATATGCATTTGAAATAGTTTGGAAATAATTCGCTATAAGAATATGTTCTATGATATATAAAATGTAAGAGGAGTTCATTCTTAAGAGCAACCTTCAGGATGTTGCTTAGTTAGGACGAGTTTCATCTCTGAGTTGTGTAAACGTGTAAAAATGTAAACAATTAAATTCCTAAGATTTGTTCCCTCCCCAAACATGAAGAGAAATCCACTGAGGCAGGTTGAACCAGACATAGGAAGAGAGCTCCTACCAAGCTCTTAAAGGAATAAAGGCTGCACTGTCATGTATCACATGCTAATAGCAAGCTGAGGCTTAAGTATGTATCATCTTTAAATGTATCATCAAAGTAAACAGCTAGAAACATTTTCCACTGGTACTGCTAACAGAAGATGTCTCTGTAATTAGCATGCAGTGACTAATTGTGTCATTGCAAGGGGAGAGATGAAAGAATTGCCTGTTGAGCAAAGTCTACTTGTGAGAATGCTCTCTGCGATCACTTCTAATGGTAATTTGTATAATTTTTTTATTATTATTAAAAGTACAATTTCCATCTCCTGATGAGATAAGAAATAAGCAAGTAGCTTTGTGTTGACCACAGAATGAGTTTAGTGATGTTGCTATGGACTGACTTATGCCTTGCACTGTTCTTACTAGGAAGAAGACTTTCAAGAAATGATTAAGTCTGCTCATGTGATGGAGAGCCAGTACGGCCACCTTTTCGATAAGGTGATAGTCAACGATGACCTCGCTACAGCTTACAGTGAGCTTAAAACCACTTTTGACAGGTTGGAGACCGAGACCTTCTGGGTTCCTGTCAGCTGGCTACATTCATAAAAACATTTTAAATAGACAAAACTGCTGTTGTTTCAGCATCTAAATATGGGGCATGGTTAGGCATTACTCAATGGCTGTTTTCTTGGTAGGAGGGCTTTCTTAACTCTACCTGAGCAGCAGGTACACTCTTCATGCACTTGGAACTGATTTTGTTTTCCTGTGTCTTCAATCCTCCTGCCCACAATTTTGGGGCAGAACATATTAACGTGAAGTCTTACTATGCTCCATAAAGTAAGCTAATACTGATGAAACAAAACTGCCAAACACCTCTTTATCATCATCTGTCTATTTCCAGGGTAAGCTTTTTTAACGGAGAGTTTGCAGAAGTTACTAATTGATACTGGAGATCAGCACTTTGATGGTTTTAAGCATAACTGCTTCCATAAAGAGCATATCAGCACTTGGAAGTTATTACCACTTAAGTGCTTGGGAAAACTGAAGCAGGCAAAAGTGACCAACGTTTTTATGAGGAAGACGTTGTAGTTTTAATTACGTATCAAGATAAGTGTTTTTACTTTTCTAGATGTGTACCTTGTCTTATATGTACAGAGTGATTTTAGTATTCCTTTGCACTTACATAGTCATGGAAAGAAAGATGTATTCAGTGGCTACTTGTGAAATACTGTGCTGTGAGCATGCATGGATTGAAAATACTTTCACGCATACTTTGTGGCACAACAAAGAAAACTCATGGGAATATTTATTTAAATAGGGAAAAATGTGAGTTACTATGTATATAACTTCACAGTCTTTGGGATTAATCTTCTGTAAAATCAGTGGCAAAGTGATGCAAATAGCAACGAAGTAGAGAGTAACTTTTTTTTTCCTTTAAATTGATTTCAAGCATTTTGGCATCCTTTAGAACAATTTTCCCATTGAAATTTTCAAACAATTAGCAAGGAATCCTTGGAGATCTGGGAAGGAATTGCAAGAGATTAATTCGTTTTATTGTTTAGTGTGTAGTGATACTTTTTAATAGTGTAACAGATTTTTTGTCTCCACTCAAAAATAAATGCTGTAGACTTCACTGTAAAAAATATCCTTGTCACTGGTCAGACACAGTTGGAAATCTCATTTTAAAATTTGATGTGGCAGTGTAAGTAAATATATATTAGATGATGTATTTTTAATATAGATAATTTGGTATTTTTCTTTCTTTACTACTGATATGCAGGAAATAAGTACAGCTGTAAAGACCAAGTAACACCTGTGTGTTTTGTTGTGAATACGTCTTGTGAGTACTGAATGTGTATAGGAACTTGCTGACTTCAGATCATCCCATCTGTGGCATTCAAACAGGAAACCGTTATTTCATGTTAAACTGTAAAGAGAATATAGCTGTCTTATTTAAAGAAAAAAGAATTTAGTGAAACTTTATATATTTATGAAAAGGTTGAAAAGGGATAAGTTTTTAAATTTCTTGTCAACTAAAGAGATTACTAAGTCTGTAATTTGAAACACTGTCTCTGTAAATGGAGCTCAACATTCCATGTAAATATTTTATTTTAGTTCATATGCTGATAAAGTCATCAGATTTTGCAGTTTTATTCTAAATGCGTATTTAATGTGTGGGTCATTGCATTTGGCTTAGAGTCGTATAAAACAAATGAAATGCAAGCAACAACAGCAAAATCCCTAGGAGTCTGGAAATGTTTACGCAAGTTACAGATGTACTGAATCCCAGTACGGATACACGCTCTGCTTGAACAGCTATAATGTAACTTTTGTCAAATTTCACCGTTTTCCTGGTGGACTTGAATTTTTTTTTAAACCTAAATAGAAAATAGTTGATTAAATTAATTGCATGGAGATTATGTGAGTTCAGAAAACGTTTTCTATTTTTTTTTAATCAAACTATTTTTCAGGGGATTTGGAATTCAGCAGCTCTGTTTGCCTATGCCTGCGCGATGCCAAGTGCCCTCGCCATCTCTTGAAACCAACCTGAACTGAGAGGGCACTCAGCATCTCTCAGGATCTGGCCATTCCCAACAAGAGGGGCTTTACTCCTTACTGAAACGCTCAATGCTGCTCCTAACCTGGGCTGTCTCAGAACATTAGTGTGCAACAATGCTCACATATGGGTCCTGCTTTTCTCTTTAAGAAATAGATGCTAGAATAATCTGCAAAGTCCCTGGTAGAAACAGTTTTGGCTGTCCTTGCAGGCTGTTTTTCTTGTCCTTTTGAAATTAATTTAATTCCCATTCCTAGGTCGGTGTGGTCTAGGAGGACCTTCTACACAGGTTTGCTGTGCTGGGCAGCAGTAAGCAGCGTGGTGCTTTGCTGCGTTTACAGAGACACAGACCCTCTGATCCTCGGCACAGTCTTGGCAGGAGTTTCCTAGACGGATGGCTGCCTGCCCCGTCTCCAAGCCAGGAGCTAAGTCCTGAATTGTAACACCTGCAAAAGAAACGGAATCGCTAAAACATAAATCCAACCAACAGAGTAAAATGTGCACAGTCTTTGAGGAGTGAGAAACAGGTTTAATTAAATTACTAGATTGCTCTTGAAAATCAACATTATTGCAGCGTTAGCTTAAAAAAAAAAAAAAAATTTGAAGTCACTGGCCTCCATGAGGCAGGCAGAGATGATAGTAGATCAAGGCAGAAAAAATGTCTTAGCCCAACAGTTTCAACACAACAGGAGCCTGCCTATCGTGACGGACGCTGAGCCCCTGTGCTGAATTGTTCTGGGATACCAAGGGGCGGCAGGCGGGGGGGACTGTTCCTTTGACTCCTAAGAATTTGTGAACAAAGATGATTAAACATGTTTTTTATATTCCACATATTCAAGTTGTGCTGTGTGGGTTTTTAGAGAACTGTATGCTTTGACAGTCAGGTCCAGATGTTTTTATTGTGTTTTAGCTGTTTGCTATAGTCAAACAAATTGTGGTAATTTTTAATATTGTACTAAGTTCTATACTTGAATTTGCCATCAGGTCCTTGGTTGATGTCTTACCTGAAATCTGAGCTTACTTTCTTATGCAAAATGATAAATTATTGATATAGCACTGAAGATGTTTTTTTCTTTATTGTAATTAAATCATAACATATAGGCTTAATGACTTTAGAAGGTAAAATGCCTTAGTAAGTTATTTCATACGTCTCTCTATTAACTGTAATGCTCCAATTATCTTTAAATGGAAAAATAAAACAACCTAGAACAAGGACTAAAATTCTTAATTTTTGATTCTTGTTGCCAAATTCTCCTTCAAAATGGATGTTTACCCTTTCCTGCAGCCCACCTCAAAATAAACCATTTTCTTTCTGAGAGGGAAAGCTTAAGTCAGTGGGTCAAACGGAGACATCAGCTTCCTATGGGAGGTTGTGTTCATTTGTAGGACTCAAAGAAAGTCATGCTTAAACTAAGTTACTTTTTGCATTGTGTTATGTCTTTTCCAGAAAAAAAAAGCCTAACACGTACTAGGATTAGAGAGAAGACTTTTAAGCCCCTTCTGGTTTGTTTCAGTGCAGTATTCTGTATTTCCCACATGTACTTAGGTTCAGGTTTCTACTGTGCGTGGAGAATTTTTTCCTCAGTAAAGCTTGTATTTAGTTTTTGTGAGATTGTTTCAAAGGACGAATAATTTCTTCAGAGATTTACAGTTACTGTTATAATCTGAGTCTGGTTTTGCTACTGCAGTATCTACAGTCATTTCCCCACAGGATTAAGAGTTTTCTGGGTATCAGTGCTTAAAATCATTTGTACTTGCAAGATCCTTTTGCTCTCAAAGTCATTACGTATTTATCATGTATTACCATGAAATGAAGCATTCAACAGAAAACTGTCTGAACACAAAATTAAAGGAACACAGTGGGTGTAGTTGTTGTTTAAGAGTTCTGGTGCTAGATAATGGTTAAAGGTTTCAGCAGAAACATGCATAAAAACATTTGGAAACAGTTAAAGTCTGGTCTTAAATTTTGTCTTTTGTTAAATGACAGTACAAATGAGAGAATTTGGAGTTCTACACAGCTGGAGACTTTTTCCCTGTTGGTATCTGTGTCTGAAATACAAGTTGGATATTTGGAAGACTGTATGGAATGATTTTGCATCTCTATAATAAAATACTATGGTATTTTGTGTAGCTGACATCCAACATTTTAACAAAGAGGGTAAATCCTTGTGATTATTGAGACTTTGTTTTGCTTCTATTTTAGTTGTACACATGTCTGTTTAAACAAATTTTTAAAGACTTAGTGGCACAAAGCTGCCAGCTACACATTTCAGTATATGAATGGAGAAAAATATCTTCAGGATTTCTAAAAGGGTTCAAATGGCACAAAGAGTATTTGAAAACTTCTTGATAAGAAATAAATAGAGAAAATTAGGTCACAATTTCTTTTGTAATTAGGTCTATTTCTTTTCAGTAGCCGTGTTAATATTCAAGACTTGAATATGGTAAAAAATCCAGAAGGCATGCTATAATTTTCCTCAAGTGAAATTTAGATTTGTGGTTTAATAAAGATGTTACATGCTTTCTATAGGATTATACACAGGCTCATGGAAACTTAGTTTTAAGGGATTCAGTGCATGTTTAAAAGGCAGAGGATCTGTGGGTATGGCAGAGAGGGACTGAGAATGTTACAAATGTGAGTACTACCCTGGAAATGCATCTTTGTTTTTGTAAGTCACTAAACAAGGAGGTTAGCAAGTTGGCTGCGAATGTTCTGTGGTTTCTGTTCCCTCCTTGGTAAATATAAATAAGTGCCAGTACATCTTTATTGGTAAGCAAAGCCAAAATTGTTGGAATCATGGAGAGTTGAAATGTAGTACCAGAAGGAGTACTCCAGATCCTGGTGATGCTGGCAAAGCTGTTGCTTTATTTTCTTCTGATTTTGTTAACTTTTACAGCAAGAGTTCAGCCATCACTAGTCATTGGCAATTTTATTCTTTTGCTCCTCTTGGCCCTTGTACAGCCATAGTTTAGTAATCTCAGTCACACAAAGGGGGGGGCAAGGGATCATTAACTTGTCTTGAAACACAGTGAGACACAAAAATGTGAT